AAGAACTATGCAGTCTAATGAGGTCTAGATAGAATATATTCGCAGCCAAAGAAGGTTTTTCATCTGAAATACAAAACAGTATCTAATATTTTTTCTGAAGTTTGACTTAATTTCTGTCCTTTCAGACAAAGATATGTTTTAAAGTCCACATGCTTGTTTTTTTTAATTATTAAATTAGTGAAGATTATCTCAGTCATTGATTAATTACAATTAGCCCAACAAACTGTTTCACCTCTAATCTCATCCGTCTGAAGGTTACTGCTCCTGAATCTTTGTGCTTTATTTAGATCTGATCTTGTAAACCAAAATCAAGTTTTCTATTATAAATCCTCCAAACAAACCAAACTTGTCTATTCTTCGAGTCTCAGATGGACATTTTTTGTGGGGTTTTTATTGTAATTTTCCCAGCACTGTATGGCTGATATTGAGGTAAACTGTAGGAGATCCCTCACTGAGAAGGTTGGCTGGTGTTTATCTCTCTATGGAATCAAGGACTTCTAGTAATTTCTAATAAAATTTTCCAAAACGTGTGGGACTGATGGGCGGCAGCATTTCTTCTGTAAAGTTTTTCCTGATATTTTTCCATCCTGACTTATGCTAACACATAGCTGCATACTCTGGATCAGTAAGTTACCGAAACTATTGCCCTACACTGCAGAGAGGGACACCAGGATGAGCCAATTTAATATCTTTTCTTCTACATAAGTCTTTGCCACACTGCCCTAGAAGCTTTCTTTCACTTCATGATTAAACATCATTATCAATCTTTTCATTTTAATGAAAGTTTCCCTGATGTTCCAGCTGTAAAACAAAATTCTCTGTTTTTTATGTTTTTTTTTTCTCAGGAGCTCTAAAGAAAAACCTGACGACCGAACAAGTCAAAGAAGACCTGCTTACATTGGGTAATACTTCCTTTAGATCAGCTCACATGGATGATACATGTAATAATGTTTTAGAACGGGTAAATGTTTCATTCAGGAAACTAAACAGTTTTATCTGTTGATTTCTCAGGGCTAAATGAGGAGAAAGCTGCACACTTTTCATTACAGGTAACTCATCAAAATGAGTCTTTGTCCTTTATGGATTCAATAATAGGGTTACCCTCCTTTATTCAGTGTTTGTGCAGCTGATAAACACCTATACAGGGAAAAAAAAAACATCCTGTTCTTATCTCCATCCATCTTAGCACTCTGAGTTTGGGAAAACACTTATAAAAACACAGGGTTGTAATGAGAACTAGAAAATTAAGATCTGGAATGATTTTATGAACACGGAGCAGATTTGACCCGGTTGTAGCACAGATCAGATCATCAAGGCTTGTTAAATTCCAACCAAAACAAAAAGTTTCAGCACTGGAATAAGCCTTTCTGTGTTCTGTAATCTGTGCGGCTACATCTGTTCTGACAGCAAAGCTTGTCGTTTCATTGTGCTGGTTGCAGATGAATCTATCTACAACAAGCTTTATCAGTTTGAAAAGTTTACTTTATAATCAATTTTAGCTGTATTGGTGCACAAGCTGATCAGCTAACATCAGTGAAGTGTTGCATCTCCAGCACAGGTGAAGCTGAGAAAGAGTTCCTAAGAAACCTTCCAGTCTAGTCACTGCGTTGTGTTCAAAGTGTTCAAACCTCCAGATAAAACAATGCCGCCGTTAATGATTCATATTAAAGCCGCATTCTGCTAATAGAAGGTGTCTCTGAATGCAAGGATGCAAACTAAAAACATTCCTCAGTGGAAACATTACAGATTTATTGGAATTCCTAAGCTCGTCTGCGGATGTTACCATTTTGTCCCTCTGTGCCCTGCAGTGGGGGGAGCACTATGCTGCGCTGTCCAGGCTCGCTGTTGGACAGACTCTGATGGTCAACAAGCTGCTGGACATGGAGTGGAAGTTTGGAGGTAAAAACCATGAAAATGATTGGGGATGAAAATTCTTCCCATTATGCCTTTTGAGACCTTAAATTATTCAAACAATCAGGACTTTATGAACAAGTAACCTATATATGTCTTCTCACTGATTGTGGTACATGACGTCTTACAGCTCTGACTTTTTCATCTGTTTTTTTAGATGTAAACATTTGGTGATAGATGCAGGTTTAGATTTGTATCAACTTTTTTATCCTGAATTTTATTTAGAAATGTATTGTTAAAAAAAATTCTCATCTCCTCAGGTATCAATAAAAATGTATTTTTTAGTGTTAGAAAAAAGCCTTGTTCGCTAATCTTTAGTGATAAACTCAGTCTTGAGATTAGTAGGCCTCTTTACCATCACCCTAATCTTTAGCTCTCTCCTAATGTTTAGCATCAGATTATTACCAAGACTCTCACTGGGTTCTTTAAAAACATTAGCATTCCTTCCTGTCAGAATTAAACTTTGATCACATTAAAATATATTTTCTGTCAGCGTACTTTTAAATAAAGGACAGCAGTGTCAAAAAAAGATCTTATGTAATCCATGCATATAAAAGAAAATGTTGAAACAATAAAAAGCTTTCACTGGGTACCAAGGCACCTTGGAAGAAGTCTTGGTTTTCCATTTTTTTCCAAGTTTGGAGAAAAAGGAGGAAAAAAGTATGAAAAATGTTTCAAAAGTTTCATTCGTCTTTTTTTTCTTACTTCTCTATTTCCATGTTTTGTCTTCGAAGTTAGATAATTTATCAGAATCTGTGTTCATTTTATAGTAAAACTTTCCTGTATTAGTACTACATAGAGATCTTAGAGAACTAAGAGTCTTTTCTTATTCAAACAGTGACTGTTGGCACCAGTGAAATTCAAAAAGTGGGAAACGTTTTTCTACAGGTAGGAATTTTTCTAGATGACCTATAGACGTGAAGTTCTTTAGTTTATTTTATTATAAATATTAACTTTCTTGCAGTTGAAGCTGGTGGTGAGAAAGGGGAATTCCACTGAAAATGTTTACATGGGTGAGTCACTGAACATTTAGACTTTTCTTCCTGAGTTTTAATTTATTTAAAAACTGCTG